GCTGACGGGCAGACGCGCGGCGCGGCAACTGCTGGAGCACGTGCTTTCTTCCCGGGTTCCCGGCCAGTCCTTGGTGTCTGCCTAGCTGCCAGACACGCACGGCCGGAGGCGGAGTCGCGGCAGGGCACAGAAAAGGACCCAAGAGAAAACCCGGAGAGGAGGACAACGTGGCATCCGGCTCTAAGCCCCGTAGACGTTTAGGACTCTTCAGAGCGCCGTTAGTTCTGCGCTCAATCTGGCCTTGGCGTGGGAGGTCCCGCCCCTTCCGGCCTGTGATTGGGCTGCACGAGCTCCTCGCAGCCACATTGGCTATCAATGTCAACCACTCACCTGTAGGTTAGCCCCGGGGCTCTCTGGGAGATGTAGTCCCGCTCCCCAGTTGCCCGCCGGGGTTTTTAGCGTCTCAGTGCCCAGGATCCGGAAGTGTAAGCCGAAGTGGCCCCTCTAAGGAAAAGTCACAGCGCCAAGTTCGTGCTGACTTCGACACGCTGTGTGGTGTCCAGCCTGAAATTTTAGTTCCGTTTTGCTGTTGACTGGCCCTGGGCAAGACCGTTAACCTCTCAGTCTCCACACTCTAAACAAGAATGATAGGATGGTAGTAATTAGAATTTTTTAGCGTTGTAATAGGCATTAAATGAGATCGTGTGACCGCGCTATGAAAACTCTGAATTTACCATATTGTCACTTATTGACAGTAAACGTATATGGAGCACCTACTATGTGTCAGGCATTGGGGTACACACTTGGAATGCAAAATCAGACAAGCTACATCGCACCCCCACCTCCTTCTTGGAGGAGGAACTCAACCTAGTTCGATTAATAATTGAACAGGGAAAAAAGAACCACATACATTTTGAAAGAGCTGCAGTATTCAAAGGGGCTAGGGAAAGGTTTCAAAGAAGAATCTGGGTCCTGAGGGAAGAGTGGTGCCAGGTAAGGTTGTTCCAGTCAGGAGAAGCTCCCTGTGTACAACACAGCACTTCAGAGAATTCTAAAATAAAGGGCAGCTGTGTACGGCTGAGCATGGTAGATGTGAGGAAAAGCAAATGCATCCAGAAAAATAAAAATTATAACCAAATCATGACGTTTACTAAGCTTTAAAAAAGGCACAAATTTGCATGCCATTCTCATTTTACTGTATGTAATTATACCTCAATTTTGAAGATTTGAAAAATTATGTTAACGCGTATCACATTCTTACTAAAGGTAGTCCTACTTGGAAGGTGGGGGGAATGGAGTAGGAAAGAGAGAATGCAACAAAGAAGAGAGGAAGGAATGAGATGTCCCTAAATAGCCAAAAATCTTAAGATTATAAGGGCTAGGGTGAGAGTGGGTGAGGGATAAACGACTACACATTAGGTGCAGTTTCCACTGCCTGGGTGATGGTGCACCAAAATCTCAAATCACACTAAAGAACTTATTCATGTAACCAAACACCACCTGCTCCCGGA